ACAAAAATAATTAATACCAAAAATTACAAACATTTTCTAAAAATGCAAAAAAATTTCAATTTCTATAGCTAAGTATAGCAAATTTAAAACAAGGTTTCTCATAAGTAGTTGAAAAAAATCTAAAAACTCTAAAATACTCTATGGGACTACTATAGGTACTCGGTATTTTTTATAGATACTTTTAATTAAAATTATAAGGATAAAAAATGGCTGTGGCTAGAGACCCGGACACCGGGTATAAAATGCGTAAAAATTATATCCCCGGACACGCATGCGTGGAGACTTGTGATTTCTGCACAGAATATAATAATTTCTGCGCGACGTTATCACTGTTATCAGTTATCAGTTTTAAATAAATTTAATTGATATCGTATACCGCCTAAATTTAAATTATTGATTTTTATATATTAATTATAGTCTATAGTCTATTTATATTATGAAGAATGTGAACTGGTTCTGATGAACATTTGATGATATCACATTTTCTTTATTTTTATGGCTGGTTTTTTTTTTGTCGTTGTTGTATTTAACAGTAAAAGATGAACAACTGTTATTATATTCATCAAAAAGTAGTGTTGGTGGTTTTTTTTTTTACATTTTTGGATTTAATAGAGTAAAAGGTGAACAATCGTGTAAATTAGTGTTTAAATTATAATTACCATATTAAGATGCAAATAGGTGATACATTCAAAAGCTATGCAGAATTTKAAAAAGCTTAAAATGTTTTCAAAAAAATAAACTATGTTGACTTTTTCATTGAAGACTGCAAGACTATATCGTCACAAAAACAAAGGTATCCTAGATTGGCAAATACATCTGCAGATTTAAAATATTATTATGTGAAACTTATGTGCATTCACGGAGGGGTCCATAAAAAAAAAAAGATTTGCCAAGAGCAACGAAATACCTCGTAAGTATTTAAATTTTAAATATTAGTATATAGATTCATTTTATTCATATAACATTTATAGTCAATATTTACAATACAATATAATTACAATATATTATTACCARTTACGTGTGCACTATCGACCGAGCAACACGTTAATCGCTTCGACCGCGCTCTCGTATTTWTAGCTCTCGTATGCACTCAGAATAATTACGTAAGACTATCAGGTAATATGAACATTTTTCATATAACTACCACCTTCTTATATTTACCCGCCTAWTAGAAATATTAACTCCAAAATGGGTGATTCACCCAAGAACCCCCCTAACCTAATAGACAAACTTTTAAATTCAAAAAAAAACCAAACACACACACCCAATGAGCCAACTCGTATTTCCGTTACTACCATTACCACCGTAGATAAAGAAACTAATGTATCGCCGCCTACCGTCACATCAAACACAGATAACGTCACTAATGACCTCACATCCAAGCCATCCGACCAAAATAACGCCAATATTATTTACACCGATGTAACCAACCATATACAGAGCGTTCCAAATGAAAAATCGACATCAATTCAAAACTACCCCTCCGAAACCGATAAAAACAACTTTAAAAAAAAAACGTTCGCCGAGACTACTAGCAATGTTAATACACCAAAAAAAGAACAGGCAATCATCTTCGATTCTATCGATAACATACCACAAATCGAATAC